GTAGTTGAAGTATCAGCATCCCAGAAAGAAATGTTTTATTTCACATTCGATTTAATATTTAGGGAATTTTTGTTTATTTGAAGAAAGAAAAGACCTTGACAGTGCGACTGAACACTTATGGACTTCAGCATTAAAGCAGCGGTTATAATTCTAAAAACCTCTTAATTACAGAACTAAAACTGTCAGCTTAATAGCCAAGCAATCTTTGATTTTTAGAAAACATGGATTTTTAGAATAAGTAAACAGTGTCCTGCTGGAGGTGTGTGTTTCTCTTTCACTCTCCCTTTCCTAACACAGCATAACAGTGTCTCTGTGGACCCTTGTTCATTTACTCCTCTGGAGCTAGTTCTCAGGTGCAGGGGTGCTGTGTCACTAGGGTATTTAATCATCCTGACCAAGTTCCAGTGAAGTGTTGTAGAGGCCTGCCACCTTGTGGATGGAGTGCAAACAGTTGAGAATTCATACACGATAACAAGACACAATTGTCCTTAACTACATTTTATGTTTATTAAATTTTAATTGTAGAGAAATACAGATAACCTATGAAAACTGTCATTTTCCTAATACAAAAACCAAGATGGAAAATTGACTTTTTGATCAATATTTTGTACCCTGTTTTGAAAATTCTTGAGCTTTCACAGTGTGTATATGTATGAATATGAAAATATTGAAATTTTCTCAAAAAGAGATAGACACAATATAATTTCATTAAATACCACAAATAACCATTAGAAATAACCCAGAAATAACCCACATTTTGACTTCATATTTCCTGTTCATTTTTTCATAATATGTTTGTGTAACAACCTTATTATTTGAGAAATTGCATCCACATAGATATGCTTACACACTAATTTGTCTTAAGAATTAAGAATGTGCACACTATAATGAGGTTTTAACATTAGAGACATGACTCTTAAATTTAAAAAATTATTTTTCCTTTTAAATGATAAGTGAAATTATTTACAGCAAAGAAAGTTGTGTAAGTTCTTGACAATGAAACTCTTCTGAATAGTCAGCTCCTATTTGGCATAGATCTTGGGATCTATGAGCTGGACATCTGGGATCTATAGCTCACAGTGCACTTCTTCTATTTCTTAAGTGAAAAAGTTTTTAATTTTGTGTCTACATAATTTATTTTGAAGTATTTAGATGAATATTCAGTGAATAAGATTTAAATTGCATTGAAGGTGCCTATACATGATTCACAGTCTAGATACATTATTGGCTCTTCTGAAAGTTTGGAAACTTTTTTATTACAATAAAAGGCAACCTTGTCACTTCTATCAATCCTCAAGTGAACAGGATCTCAATACCTTGAATTTTTTATGTTGAGGCTAAAAGAACAGATAAAATCTACTAGATTAGCTGGTATTGCCTCTTAAGGATGGAAATTGAATATCTGAATATCTGTTGATAAAATTTAATAATGGAAAATAAATGTTATTTTGATGGTCTTGCTAAAGTCTAAAAACAGATTATCAGAGGTAAACACATATACTTAAGCTATGGTCTTTTTAAAGCTATACTCTCATTCAAACACATATATGCTAAAAACTTAAATTTGTCTTGATATTTAATATGTATAAGCTCTATTTTGGTTGTTCTTTTTCTAGAATTGAAACGTAATATCTCAAATGGTGTCAATATATTATAGATATGAAGATAACAAGAAATCTTGCTTTCAAGATGGTCCAATAAGCATTGTCACCTAGTGCAAGGCCAAGATCTCTCAAAAAAGTGCTTACTTTGCAAGTTAACAAATGAAGTATCATTAAGCCGCTTCACTTCATACTATGTATCACCTTAACATTGCAAGATTGTTATCCCTTGTATCCATTTTCTGATACAGGGTAGTTATTGAAGCCAGGTGTGGCCTTGCCCTCTTGGTCCTCTTCTTACTGCCTCTCTATTTCAGTGTTTAACGGCCTGGCCAACACACTTAACTTTGCAAGCTCTTACCTTAGTTTTCATCATTTTCTCAGTACAGTACTTAGTGAGACAGTTGACATGTATTTATCATGTTGGCCAGCTCAGTGGTAAAAGTTTGAAGAGATGTTCTGGGAGTTTGAGACTGGCCTGCCAGTATTCCAAGCCAGATGTTGGTGTATTCTACAATTAGTTAACCTGCTTTGCCTAGGGATTCCAATCATTCCTCAGGGCCCAAAGCAAAGCTCCTTCTGACAACAATCTGGGCCCTAGCATGCAGTGTCCTGATCGAACATTGTAGCTTTTTCCTATTTTCAAAATTAAGTTTTAGTTCAAGTACTAACGTGTTACAAATTTGCTTTACGGCCATGATGGTATTTATCTGCTGTTTTTGTATTTTTGACTGTTTCTTTGTGATTTGTACAAAAATTCTATTGATATTACCAAATTAAGGGAGAAAAATGTAGTGCATTCATTACCTAGAGTATTACCTGAGGTAACTTATGGTGATTCCAATTGCTTAATGATATAATGATGGGATAAAATTTTTTGACATCTGTATTTATTATGTTTTCAGTAAAAGCAAAACACATATAATAACTGAAAGGACATGTTAATTAATAGTTTCATAATCAGAAAGCAGCATAAAAAGACAAAATCACATCTTTACTATTTGAAATATCAATCTGAACACGCTTAGCAGTACACTATTACATTGTCTCATGTCCAAGGAAAAATGCTTCTTTGATCCATTACTTTAAAAACTTTAAACTAATTCATTCAATATATCAATTATTAAAATATTTGCAAGGTATTCTAGAAGGCAAAGAAATAGACAAGTATCTTAAAGACATTCTTTACTTGGTAGATAACTATACACCAGAGCAATTTATTAATAATGCTTTATCATAGACACATTTTGCAGTCACTCTAATCTATTTGCAGAAAATGCCTTTATATAGTGTTACAAATTTTGACAACATTTATTATCTGTGAGGCAGACCATATCTGTTCTACAGAGCCTCTAGGAACTGAAATTTACTTCCAAATTAAAAAGCAAATTTATGCCGGGCGGTGGTGGCGCATGCCTTTAATCCCAGCACTTGGGAGGCAGAGCCAGGCGGATCTCTGTGAGTTCGAGGCCAGCCTGGGCTACCAAGTGAATCTCAGGAAAGGTGCAAAGCTACACAGAGAAACCCTGTCTCAAAAAACCAAAAAAAAAAAAAAAAAAAAAAGCAAATTTTTGCAAAAATCTATCAGATCATTAAATTTTGCATTATAACAGATTTACACGCCTCTTAACAAATAACTAATCTAAGGACGTGTTAAGCATGGTACTTTCAAAAGGACTGCCATGGGTTATTTGCTTTTTATAGCTTTTTCAGATCATATTACATGTATTTTAATCTTTATACAAGGAACCTAGAGTAGATCTCAACTTTAGGAATTAAACTTTGTTTACTGGGAAAGCCAGAGCAAGGAACAGTCAAACCATTGGGCCTGAGTTTGTGTGTGCCTTCCTTAAAATTAAAATGCCTATTTTTTTTAATCTGTGTGAGGATGTGCTTTGGTGAGTTTATGTGCTTTGGTGAGTTTATGTGTACCAAATGCACACAGGGACACATGGGGCAAACAAGGAGTAAGATGGCTGGAATTAGAATTACATGTAGATGTAAACCATGTGGGTGATGGACACTGAATCCAGGTCCTCTGAAAGAGCAGTAAGCATTCTTAGTCACTCAACCATCTCTCCATTCCCTCACCTTTACTATTTATCTTCATAATTCAGCAATTTTACTCATAAAAATTTATTAGATGTATGAAAATACCCTTAGTTACCTCATGCAAAATATTTTCCTGTCAATATTAAATACCACACCATATATAGTACAAAAACAAATTTCCCTGAATGGACGAAATATATACTTTTGAAATTTCTAAAGTTTATTATGATTATAGTGTTAATATAATATTGATCATTAATAAGCTTTTAATGACTGATTTCAAACTTCTCATAGATGGCATATTTATCATATTTACTTTCCTAGAAATAGTACTACAGAAGAGAATTAAATTATTACTGAGAAAAGTTAACACAAAAATTAAACTTAATGAGGTACATATTGATTATAAAGATTAAGAAATGTTCTAAAAGTATTTCTGTAAACTAAAATCCACAGTGCAGTATTTCTGCAGACTAAGTAGATGTTTTTACTGGCATAATAATATAAATGCATGTTTTCTGTCATCAACATCACATTGGACATTTTTATTTGCTCTCCTTGCTCCTCACGTGTCTTCACAATCCTCTACTCACATTTCTTACCACCTTGGAGTTCTAATTTTAGCTCCCATTACCTAAATGTATACTCTAGTCTGGAAATTAGTCATGACATTGATACTAGACTGTGTAAATCATATAAATACTAGAAATAGTCTGTGTTTCTCTCTGTGTGTCTCTGTCTTTCTATTTCTCTGTGTGAGTGTGTGTGTGTGTGTGTGTGTGTGTGTGTGTGTGTGTGTGTGTGTGTGTGTGTGTATGAGAGGATGAAAAGAATGTGCATTTTCTTATTTTCTTGAGGTTGTTGAAGATTAAGTTTTTGTTGCTTCTGGATTGCTGTAACTTTTATTTTGCATATGCTAAAGTGTTTTATGGGGTTTTGTTTAATATATGTTTTCTCTCACCAATACTTGTCATACTTATTTTTAAAATATACCCACTTTGATTAATACTTTTGTACAGTAAATCTAAATCTATGTGTGTAGAATTTCTGTGTACAACATGCATATGCCCAGGGAAAGTACAATTAACTTTCCTAAGTTGCATGTGCTGATGAGACTGAAGATTCATGTCCTTATGATAACTTGAGCCTCCTGTCACCAGGAGTAATGATCATTGTGGCAACCAATGTGAGGGACAAGTGACATGTCTTATTAAATGCACATCCTAATTTCTGTCACGTTCAGACTTCTAGTAACCGTAATGAGCCGAAGAGCATTGGATGTGACTCTCTTTCTTTGTCATGCTCTCTCTCTCTCTCTCTCTCCCCCTCTCTCTTTTCTCCCCTTAGCTCCCTGTGAAGGCAACACGTTCTTCTGCCACAGCAACATGTGTATTAACAACACGCTTGTCTGCAATGGTCTCCAGAACTGTGTGTATCCCTGGGATGAAAATCACTGTAAAGGTAATGAAAACAGAGCCACAGAGTGGGAAGGAGCTGTATCTGTAGCAGTCTTAAAAAGCAGAGGGTGTGGTTTTGTCTGTCTTTGCATATGTCTTATAGTCAGTTTGTAAATAGTCTCCCTCTTCATTCCTCAGTGTGCGCAGAGATTTCCTCATTTAGACTGACAGTGACTTTCCTTACATTCCAGAACACTCACTAAAGATACCTCAAGAGAACTTGCAGAGCCAAGAGAAGAAAAGTGTAGCTAGCGATGGAAAGCCTCACTTCTCCATGACACCTTTGTACCTTATTACATTTCTTCTATTCTATTTTCCTTTATTCCAGGCTTTTCCAATGTACATTTTTGCACATAGTCTAGAGATAAAGTATTTGGATCATTTTTGTTTTCAATTAATGCTATTTCTATTTTGTTAACAAAAAGGTTTTTTTTCCCCTGTCCTATGAAATAGTTCCTAGCATTCCTGCCCTGTCAGCCAGTCCACAACCAACATATGGTCATTTAAATAGGACTTGTTGCCTGAGTTATGCTCCATTTTAGTTAACATGAAAAAAAAAAACTGTTGTTAAGGCTGAATGTTAAGCCCAATTCAAGGAAAGATAAACATGAAACACTTTTCCACTTAAATTTTAGTATGATCTGTCAAAATACTTTCTGCAAAGAGAAGCAGAGGAACCCTGCCCAGTGTCCATTAATCCAGTGAGTCTGTAAGAAAACTTTGTCTGTAAGACGAATTGCTAAGTGATCTCATTAACAAAAAACCGGAACAAGATATTAGGGGAGAAACTGAGAGATCAGGGAAGCAGAAAGAAGCCAGCCATTCTTATCACTAGAAATCCTCAGCCAAAGAGAGAGGTACTTCCTGTATACCCATGCCTATATGCCTTTCTGTCCTTGTCCTCTTACTTCCTCTCTCCACTCAGCTACATCACTTCCTCTTTCTGCCCAGCTCTATCACTTCCTGTCTGTCTGTACAGACCTCCAGACCTCTATGGTTAACTAGTGCTGGGATTAAAGGTGTGTACCACCACGCCTGGCTCTGTTCCCAGTGTGGCCTTGAACTCACAGAGATCCGGATGAATCTCTGCCTCCTGACTGCTAGGATTAAAGGTGTGTACTACCATTGGCTCACTTCTGTTTAATATAGTAGCTGGCTTTTCCCTCTGATCTCCAAGTAAGCTTTATTTACTAGGGCACAAATAAAATATCACCACATTTGTCCAATGGAAACTATTTTGACAATGAGTGTTAGTGATAATTTCAGTCTAAAGAACCCCTAGGAAATAGCTAGGAAATTAAATGCTTTCTGAAGTGTCCCCACACCTTAGTGTTAGGGAGTAGTCATCAACATCAGTTTGTGGCATGTAAGAGTCTGTGACAAAAAAATAAAAAATAAAATAAAAGGGCAATCATAAAAATCTGCTATAAAAATGTACTGCCTCTTTTCCAGACAGCTAAACCATCTTTGAAATCTTAACTCATCTTCTTGTGATATTAGAACTTACTTCTTTTGACACTAGTCATTTACTGGGGTTGGTTCTCTGGCTTAGCACATACTGTGGCCTAAAGAAATGTTGCATCTGTCCTTGACATGAGTGTGCATCTGAGACTGGGCACAGTCTTTTATATCTCCACGTCTGGTATGTTCATAGAGCATTGTATAAGTCTTCTAGTTCATTTTTTCATCTGTGTCTTCTGCAGGATTGAAAGAGGATATTCTATTTTTCTGTGTCATATAATATTGGATAGCCTCCTTTTCTGCCTACACTTACAAAGCTTCCATTTCACATGGTTTTGAATCCATGAGTGTATGAATTGTTATACTGTCCTCAAAATTAACTTCTTTATCACCATTAGACGATCTAAAAGCTTAGTAACATATTTTTGTCCTAAAGTGTATTTGTTTGCATTCAACTTTCTTTGACTGTCTTTTTTTCACTCTTTTCCTTAGTTCATTCTACTTGTTATACAGAAAATATTTACTACTATTGATGTATAATTTAATATTAATGTTCATCCATTCTAACAGTCTCTGTTGTTTCATTAGGTTACTTAATCTATCCATATATAATGCTGTATCTCCTGTACTGGGCTCACAGCCTTTTTCATTTCTCATTTTCTGTGTGTCTCATGTATCTTTTTATCTTTTCTGCCTTCTGTAGTCTCTTCTACCCTAAGTAGATATGCTTTACTGTAACATTTCTTTTTTAGTGTTTTTCAATATTTTCTTGATTTACTTTTTCTGTGTTGGCTTAGGGGCTTATAACGCACAACTTAACTTTTCAGTATATCTCAGGGTTTTTTTTGTAGGCTGACAATTCTAATGAAACATAGAACGTTTTTCCTGTATATGTCACATTCTCTACTCCTTTCACCCATTATTTTCTACATTATATGTATGTATGTTATAACCACAACCACACATTGTAATAATTGCTACTTTATATCATTCTGTCTTCAGAGTGAAAACAGAGTAAGGACAGTCTGTATTAGTACAATTTGCTATAAATGCTTCCTGTTTGTTGTTTCTGTTTCATGTGATTATATTTGGATTTTTCTTATCTCTGTGTCCTTCTTTTAATATAAACAATGGTTTAACTCCCACCAAACTCAATTCTACTAGTGTGATCAGAAACCACATCTCTATGAAGTCTAGGCTCTGTAGTACAATGATGCACAGAGCTCACTGTACTTTTTAATGAAACAAATTTAAATGACTATGAAGAAAAAATTCAGAAGTATGTCTGTCTCTCTGTTTCTTTCTTCATTTTGTTATATTTAATTTTTATTTTGTTATATCTAACAATGATGTTGTTTCAGTTTTTAAATCAGTTTTACTAGATAGTGAATTTGGGTATAGAATTATTTATATGATTTTTAAATTTGATTTTGCTTGTGGTGCCTTGCATCAGTGAGCATGTATTCTGACCTCCAATGATTGTCAATCACATGATAATCTGTATAGATCCTTTCTCTGGTGTAGCTTGAGTTTTCCTGCCTGGCCCACAGTCAGGACAAATCTCTCTCACCTGCCAGTCCCACAGCCTCTCAGACCCGACCAAGTAAACACAGAGACTTATATTGGTTTCAAACTGTATGGCCGTGGCATGCTTCTTGCTAACTGTTCTTACAGCTTAAATTAATCCATTTCCATTAATCTATACCTTGCCACATGGCTCGTGGCTTACCGGCATCTTCACATGCTGTTTCTCATCATGGCAGCTGGCAATGTCTCTCTGACTCAGCCTTCCACTTCCCAGCTTTATTCTCCTCCTTGTCCCACCTACACTTCCTGCCTAGCCAATGGCCAATCAGTGTTTTATTTATTGACTAATCAGCAACACATTTGTCATACAGAACATCCCACAGCACTTCCCCCATTTTTTTTTTCAAAAAGGAAGGTTTTAACCTTAACAAAGTAAAATTACATATAATTTGGGAATTTGGGCATAGCTTCTCTTACTACTTCCTGCTGGAGGGGGGCGCTGTATCTTATGGGGACACAAAGAAAATTTTAGAATTATGGAATAGTCCATGAGGCTGTATTGTCTGAGCCAGTTGCCTTGAAACGGTTCTGGATGTTGGATCATCTGGGCCATGGTGTCATCGGAGACCTTTCAGGGGGTCTTGGCTGGTCAAACCTGATGTATCTTAATCTGGAACAAATCCATAGCCACTGGCTTTCTGTAGGAACAAAAGCAGAGACTCTTTTCCAAAGCAACATATCCTTATATCAAAATTTTGAAGTCAAGGTATCTTTAGAATATACATTTTGGCATAACTCAACAGCTTTTACAATCAAATGTTTTTCTGCAGTTAAAAATCCCAAAGACAACACAATCCAGATTCTCTGTGTAATATTCATCTTCACGTGGCTTATTTTTTATATTAATTTTACTGTCTCTTTAAAGACTTTATTTTTTAAAACTATGTATTTGTTTCTATAACTCTATATATCACCTTTTTTGTCTCTTTCAAGCCTACGTATATTTTACACACATTTAAACTATTTCATCTGAATCTGTCTTATTGTGAATCTCTTGCTTTAAATTGCAGCAGCTGTGACTGCTGGCTCCGCCCACCTCAGCTTCCTAACATGGCATTCGCCAGCTCTGGGAGCTATCCTGGGTCTATGCTTTTATCCAAGCAGCGTGCAGCCCAGAAACCTCTTTTTTTGTTTTGTACTAGAAAAGGCTAAATCCACCGTGCAGCTTAATGTGCCACTTGCAGAGGCCTCATTCCCGCCATACTGCAGGTCGAGCACACACTAGGAACCCACAAGTAGCTCAAACCGGCAGCTGCCGCTCATTTGAGGGAGACAGTTAGGAAGCTGCTTTTAGCTCCATTTTAGAATCTTTTTTCTCAGTTTTTAGGTGGAAACTCTTGTCACCACGTTGGACGCCATTTGTAGCTAGAGTTTTCCTGCCTGGCCCACAGTCAGGACAAATCTCTCTCACCTGCCAGTCCCACAGCCTCTCAGACCCGACCAAGTAAACACAGAGACTTATATTGCTTACAAACTGTATGGCCGTGGCATGCTACTTGCTAACTGTTCTTACAGCTTAAATTAATCCATTTCCATTAATCTATACCTTGCCACATGGCTCGTGGCTTACCGGCATCTTCACATGCTGTTTCTCATCATGGCAGCTGGCAATGTCTCTCTGACTCAGCCTTCCACTTCCCAGCTTTATTCTCCTCCTTGTCCCGCCTACACTTCCTGCCTAGCCAATGGCCAATCAGTGTTTTATTTATTGACTAATCAGCAACACATTTGTCATACAGAACATCCCACAGCACTCTGGGTATATTATTTTCCCTTTGCTGATTTCTTTATTTTCTTGTCCTGTATATTTTTAAAAAAACTATTTTAATAGTAAAGACTGACTAGGTCCTTTACATTTACTCTACTTGAACTTTTTTGAACTTGGATGTGCATTTTATCATTAATATAGGACATTTTAAGCCTTTTTTGATTAAAAAATACATTTGTTCTAAGGTCTCTTTTTGCTCCTAATATGCTTTTGTTTGATTATTTGATACATTTTTCCAGTGCTACATTCACTTTTCTGCACTATTTATCCCAGAATTTTTATTCCTCCATCTTCAGCTTTGCAGATGGAGCCTTGTGGTTTTGGCTTCAACTTCTCTGAAATACAGCTGATGATTTGGAAGAGGGAGAGAGTCATTGCTTACATGGTGGTCACTCTTCCTGAAGAATTCTCACTCATTTCATTGTACTTTTAGGGAATGGAATAATTTCTTTAGTACCTCCATAAGAATGATTGTTTGTAATTATCCTTCCAAGCCTCTAGACATGCAGATATTCTCTCCTGAGCGTTCTCTCTCCCACGCCTCTGTGCTTTTTTCTATGTGCCCATTTGCTGTCCACAAATAGGAAAATTTCCATACCCTCATTATAACAGAATTTTAGTGGTCAATTTTTATATTAATTTTTGTTTGGGGAAATATGTGCAAGTTCTCATGCTTCCATTCCAAAATGTCTGCTGTGATTTTTGTGTTGAATTATTCTCCGTATCAAAATGCTGTGATTCCTATAACTTCACTTTCCCTGCCAAGCAGCAACGGAGAGAAAGTCAGGGACATTCATTTCTGGTTTGGAATTTAGAGATCCTTTTATGACTAAGAAGAGAAAATAAATCATAGTTCAGGAAATTATCACATCGTGCACAAATACTATTTTATAAGTCTTATGCAAATATTAGCATATATATGCATTTGCACACACACACACACACACACACACAAGTATGTGTACACATTCAACGTAGGAAGTAAGCAATTAGATAGTTACTTTTATGGAAAACAGAGCCCCTGTGAAAACAGAACTTTTTTTTAAAGCATTGTTGTGCGATACTTTAGGGCTGTGAAAATTGTATGCTCAGCCTGTTTTGTGTTAAAGTTTTGGAAGTGCATTTTGAAGGCAATATTAACGTGTGGTGGGTTGTTTCTCCTCTTGTCTGTCTGTTGTTTTCACTCTCTCCTACCTACAGAAAAGAGGAAAACCAGCCTGCTGGATCAGCTGACCAACACCAGTGGGACGGTCATTGGCGTGACTTCCTGCATTGTGATCATCCTTATTATCATTTCTGTCATTGTACAGATCAAACAGCCTCGTAAAAAATACGTCCAAAGGAAGTCAGACTTTGACCAGACCGTTTTCCAGGAGGTGTTTGAGCCTCCTCACTATGAGTTATGCACGCTCAGAGGAACCGGAGCAACGGCTGACTTTCCAGATGACTTTGAGAGTTACCATAAACTGCGGAGATCATCTTCCAAATGCATTCATGACCATCACTGTGGATCCCAACTGTCCAGCGCAAAAGGCAGCCGCAGTAACCTCAGCACAAGGGACGCTTCCATCTTGGCAGAGATACCCACCCAGCCAGTCAAGCCCCTCATCCCACCTGTGAACAGAAGGAACATCCTGGTCATGAAACACAACTACTCCCAAGATGCTGCAGATGCCTGTGACATCGATGAGATCGAGGAGGTGCCCACCACAAGCCACAGACTATCCAGACATGAGAAATCCGTCCAGCGGTCAGTATCCATAGATATTTGATGGCAACCATTCACTGAAGACGGAAATGCTCTCACAGCATTCGTTCTAGTCTGTCTTCATTGTCAGCCCCCACCCTCTGAATCATAGTTGAAACCACAGTATCCTCATCCCCCCTTCTTCCTCCCTTTCCTTCTCTTCCTAGCTCTAGTCTGTTCATTCTATATCCCAGACATGTGCATGAAATGTACACGTGTATGATGACACCTGTGCACACAGACCAAAGATACTTTATTTCTACATATATAAGAACTATTTCTACAGAAAACAGGACACTTCATTTATAGTAGAGATCTATGCAACTAATTTGCCTCCACATAGTTATAGTTGTTGCTCTCTCATCAATATTATATTTTAGGACAGAAAATAATATTTTAAAACTGTTGCCTTACCAAGATAATGATACCAACTTATTAAATATTTTTAATTTGAAAATAAAATATTTTTCAATAGAATCTATTTATTTTGCTAAAAAAAGTATATTTTCCCATATGATGTAATACTTAGATTACAATTATACTTTATAACATTGAGTGATAAAATACTAAAAATTGATATTTAAATATAGAAAAATTTAAATATAGAAAAAATTTAAATATAGAAAAAATATTCATCTTTCATTTATACATATATAAAATATGTGTTATATGTTAATATTTCTAAAATGAGTAAAAATATTGGGCAGAAAATTTGATTTAGTAATGGTTTATTTTTTTGAAATTCCAACATATATCAAGTTTAATTTTGCTGTTTTTCATGTTTACTATAATTTATCTAATTATATGGAATTATAAATTTGATTCATAAAAATCTAAAATATCTAAGTTGATTTGATATATTCATGCATGCTGATGAAATACCACTATTTTCATTGCTTTATTAACTTTAGGGATGATTTTAAAGTAGATATATGTATTTATATTTTGTGCAAATATTGCTTTGTTGAATGAAATAGCCATAACATTCCAGGTTCTGCCTCATTGGGTCTCTAAGCAAACACGAATCTGAATACAACACAACTAGGGTCTAAAACGAAAACTCAAGGTAAGCAAACGCCCTTGGCTCCTTCTCCCTTTGTCCTATGCTATTTTGTTCTGTTTTGTTGCAACTGTCTTACAGCATTTCAGAGAATGTGCTATTTATTCCTTATTTCTTAAGCTACCTATCTCATGGCATTTCACACATAGAGGTAGAATGGATGCAATAGTAATGGAGTGACTATTCTTAGGATGCGTAGCTTTGTGATCAGTTTTAATATTCCTTCATCAAGCATTGCTCAACAGCAGAATAAGCTAATAACATTTACATTGTAAGACAAAGATAATAAAAGCAATGAACTTTCTTTCAAAGACTAGCTCAGGAAACCAAGGTTTTTGAAAAAATGAAATACAATAATATTCACTCTTAAAGGAACTGAAGTGAATGCATCTGACTTGCAATTACTGACACAAGTTGGCTCTATTCTATTCAAATGCAACACCAAGTATTTGGGGGAATTTATGCAGTCTTATTTTTGCATGAGTAATTAGCTTATCTCATTAAAATTAAATGTGGCATGTTGATCAAATTTTATGAAATAAAATTTGAATGTTTCATGTTTTAAAGGACTCATAACATTCAGTTGTCTACATGTGCATCTATTTGTCCTGAACCCTCACACAGGCTTTACATCTTCACTTGGCAGTCTACTCTTATTTTACTCTAACTCATCTCCAATTAAATTTGCTTCACAGCTAATTTCCTCAAAACTCTTCGAGCCTATCAACTGTTCTTGAATTAGGAGAACGCATCCCATGCTCTGTATGATCTTAATAAGCTGGTGTGTTTGTTGCATCTTTTACATTGGGAAAAAATGTTTTAACTGTGCTTTATTTTCAGAGAACTATTTATACACACATGGGGACTGTGGAAAGAGAATTCTGTAGTGAACTGTGAAAAGTGGACATATTTCTAAACTCATTCCACTGCCTTTACCCAAACTTAAGAGTTACAGACATGTGTTATTTCTTCGGCAAGACATCCCTGCTGCTGCACAATGATGTGTCCATTTCCTAATTTGGTTGCTGATCACCAAGTGCTCCTTAGGTTTTAAATACATTCTAAGATTTACGGAAACTTGAAGAAGAAATTAGTTCCTGATTTAAGACTACCCCAGCTTTACTTTTACTGTCACTTCCACTTCCATTTATGTGTTGTTCACGTCTTTGTTATATGATTGTACCTGTGTGATCTGTGAAAAAACAAAAACAAAAACCACAACTTTGGGTGAACCTTGTGTTACATGTACATTGTTTTCATTATATAGACTGCTTGAGAATAGTGCGTTCCTGCGTGATTTTGAACATGCTGCAATGAAAAAAATGGAAAAGTGGATCATGGAAACACCAGCTAGAGGTTCAGTGGACTGTACCCACCTGTTGTTTCATTATAATTAAATGCAGTAAAAATTAATGAGTAAAACCTAGATTGCAATAAGACAAATATCTTCCCCCTTCTCCCTCTGTGTTTCTCTCTGTCTCCCCCTTATCATTTCTATGTACCCCTGATTTCCTTTTTTTTTATCAAGGGAAGATACCGAGTTTCATAAATGCCTTCTTGAAATCAGGTATTTTACCATTCACACCCTACAACAGAATTTTGTTTGATTAAGCACTTAGTAATACGACTGAATTGACAGTTTGAGAAAATACCCTGCATGTCAGTACTGGATATTTAGGTTGGAAAAATGCCCTCTTTATTAGACACATTGTAAAAAGCATGCATTCTCAAATATTGCTGTTACTCTTCCATTTCTTTGTGTCATATGCTTGCTACTTGTAACTTTTATATAAATATATATATAAAATGTATAATAATTTCCTAATTTGAGTTAAGAGAAATCCTTTCTTCTGTTGTAAAAAAAAGCAGAGTTACATGAGCACATGATTTATTAATATCAACTCTTCCCACACTCTAGATTACAGGATGTCATTTAATATTGAGGCTTCCCTAAATATTTGATTTCTAACATCTTATAAATTGGTTTGCCTTTTATATTAAGAATCTTCCTAAGTCAAACCTTCAGAATCATAGACCATTTTATGATTACACTACACCATTCTGACTTACCCAAACACACATGAGCCTTGATGCTTAATGGTTATGATAAGTTTTATACAAAAAATCTAGAACTAATAGTACATATAAGTTCTTTTGAATTATATGCATCCCTATAAACACTGGATGGATACTTTTGTCAAATAATGGATTTGTAGTATTCAAAAACTGATTTTGAAAACTACAATTATAGTAAATTTGCTTTCTCTCTTCAAAATAATGAGTTTCTTAAGAATAAAATAATTGGAACCTTCAAATAGCAAAGAAATCTGATCAACTACAATTTCTGCCAGCAGCTGGAGCAGACTTTATAGTCTAAATGGATATTCCTTGTCATATGTCCCTATCAGGAGGCCAATATTTTATATGTTAAAATATAAATGAAAGAAAATATCAAGTAAGTGGAGATAAAGAAAATTGTGATAGAAAAACTGAAGGACTAAGCAATTCTTGAATTTTGGAAACATGATCAACTTGCCTTGCGGAATACTTGCTGCACAAGGACATATGTGCCAGGTGGGTTTGGTAGTCTCCCTGTAATAGTGGCTCTCTGAAGACAGAGAAGGGTGTTCCCAGGGAAAAGAGTCTAACTCAGTGGTTCTCAACCTGTGCATCACGACTCTTCTGAGGGTCAAACAACCTTTTCACAGAGGTAGCCAATTACCGTTGGAAAACACAGATATCTACATCACAATTCATAACTGTAGCAAAATTACAGTTATGAAGTAGCAACAAAAAATAATTTTATGGTTGAGGGTCACCACAACATGAGGAACCATATTAAAAGATCACAGATTTGGGAACGCTGAGAAACACTAGTCTAACTAAATGAGCTGAATAGGACAGGTCTGGGTTCAGCAAAAGACCGTTTCCTACTAAACATAGTTAAGAAGACTAAGTGAGGAAGATACTCACTGTCAACGTCTGGTCTCCACACACATGCACTCATACATACTTGCACATGCACACACAGAGACAAACACACACACACACATGCACACAAACATCACATGAAGATGCATGTCCATAAAAATAAAATAATATTAAAATGGTAATTTCTTTGAATTAAGTTGACAAATTGTCCAATTAAAAAAAGATACTGACATGATGAATACTTTGGTGCATACTTTGCCCATGTCACTTATGATAAAATTTGCCTTTTCCTGTTTGGCTGGCCAATTTATTTGTTCCTGTATGTAATTTTGTGTTCATTAATTCAAATTTGGCATTTCAAGACTATCATTTAATTTAGTTGTCCTATTTTGTATTGTTTAATCGCTTTAGGAATCCTTAGTGGATGGTATTATCTTTGAATGAATAATATTACACTGGATATATATGACAGGAGTGTTTCATTATACAACAATGGAGAAAAGAAGATAAATTAAATGGATAAATCACCACTCACCTGTTATGTAGATTTACAGAGTTTCCACTCCTTTCAAGATCTACAAAATCCTCCTGATCTGCTTATTCTATGTTTAAGTATATTTAATACCTCAAATCCACCAAACAACAGACACCTTTTCTAACATTAAATTAAATTAAGCATAATAATAAGGATGGGTGACTAACATATATTTGATATATAATTTCTTCATGGGAAAATAACTTCTCTTGAAGGATGGGCCTCCTCTTGGGTGATGATCACATGACCTCCAGGTGTTGACTGTTCAAGGGAGGAGATGCTGACATCACTGCCCAGAGTCCTGGAGGCCTGTGATTGTCCCCATCAGAGATGCTACGTACTGAATCTTGGAATGTCAGAATCCAGAAAATCTACCAAATGTATTTTGGAGCTCCCTACAGGTGCCTTCATAAAACCCAATCCAATATTGAGATTTGTCAATATATTAAAAATATCTATTAAATAACTACATGAAACTTTACCAGTTGAATATCAACCTTTGGAAAACCTTCAAAATGGGTGGTACTTGGAGCAGAAGGAAGGAGTGGTTTAAAACTATCAAATTTAACAGTTAACAATATTTATTCACAAAGTTAATTCAAATACATCACTATGTAAATCTGGTGAAACTCCTGGTTTTGATGTAAGTGTTTGTATTCACCTTTTAGGATTTTGGTGGCCTTTCATTTTTACACAGAATGTCCATGAAGACCTGAGTTAAGCTTTTTACTTCTCTCGAAGTGCAGTGCAGTTGCTTAACACAAGGTTAATGCTCTGACTTTTAATCTGAATTTTCCACACCTGTTTTCATACACATGCAGATTTTATGCATCACTTCACAAAATAGACGCAATATTTGATTTTTTCACAGCTTATTTTAGTCAGATAATTAAAATGTGCAGTAAACATAATTCAAGATCAATGTCATTTGGTCTTTAAATGAGAATCAATCCTGTCCTGGAGATGCTGAATCTTTCATCTAATTTTTGTCCTATTAAAAATATTTTAGAGCATTGAATAGATTAAAAATTCTTCTCAATATTTAGAGTTTGGCTTTCAACATCATATGAATATCTCTTCAGTTTTGCGTCCCACAGGAAGTCAAGATTTCCTTACATGTTACAGGTTTTGTTTCTTTTGTATTTAAATCAAGAATGGATTTCCCTGAACTCAAAATATTAAAGTAAAAAAGCCTGGGTCTCATCATCTTTTTAAGGTAACAACAAACAATGCAATGGTGTTTGATAGTGAAATAAATGATGCCATCTAGTTTGAATAACTGCAGTTCCCAAAACTAGGGGGTGTGTGTGAAATAAAAGAACTATAAAATTGATGTGTATCCTAAATAAATACGATGTGAATAGTGAGTTTGTTCTCTGTCTGTTGAACAGAAGGGTTAGTTACTATGCATACTTTCCTCAATTAAACCATTTCTTATTTTTCACAGCATGATGAGAAAATGCGGCCAAGAAATCATTAGATGGGTAAAAGAACAAAATAGATGGAACTTGAGTTAATTACTAGTTCCTTATTTCTTTAGTTAACATTTCTTATATCCCCTTTGAAGACTGGAGAAAGAAAACTGCATGGCAAAAGTAAAGGGATGTTTTGTTTTTGTTCTTGTTTTTGTTTTATCATCAATCCAACTCAATAAATCCAAAGTAACTTTTAACTAAGAATAATAACTATTCATTTTGTAATGAATTTAGATTGTGCTAAAATTCCTTTTAACTAAATTATACCATTTGACTAAATCCAAGGGTGTAACAAAGGCAAGAAATATAAGTAAGTAATGTCAAACACATAATTCACTGTTTTCCTTGTGGCACCAGGTTATGTGCTTTCCTGTGTTTTCTTAAAGAGAAAATGCTCCCTAACATCCCTTCATTTCCTTATGTTAGGAAACAAATAAATAAACACAACTGTCATCATGCTTCTGTCATTTGCTTGGAGGATTTAGAGAAGTTCCTTATTCCTGTGAGCCATTGTGATCATACAATTGCTTTTCTATTTCGTAGCCATACAATTGTGCAGTCAGCTCACTCTTGGTCCTCACCATCTCCTTCTCTTTAACCAGTGAGCCATGGTATTTTCCAACCATTCATTGAAAAGTTGTTTGGGGGTTTCTTTTAATAGTCACAGATAGTCACTCAAACAAAAATTAAAGCTGACCAGCAAGTATGATGTGTAAGTTATTTAAAATAAAATTATTCCTTTTATATCACATTATTAAACTTGTACTCTTTATTCACTTTCCCTTGAGTTAAACCTTATATCAGCATTGCTAGATATTTTTTTGTCTGTGAAATATGTATGCCAAAACCTCTTCTTCAGTACATTGGGGGTGAAGATAATGGTGGAGGTTGGTGGAGGAATGATCTTTAAACTGTAGAGGAAAGTTCTATTCACTTCTTTTTTACCATGTGGCCCATCTTGAAACACTAGTTCGATTTCTCTGGGTCCCTGTCATCTGTGCAATATAAAACATAATTGTCTGTAAAGAAAATGCAGTGCAGAGGATAGTGTATAGTCAAGAAGTGAGAAGTTGAATATTAGAATAGTGTTTCCTTAGGGGCACCAGAGGAGCTCTGTGAAGTGTAGGCTTCCTAAGCAGACAGGGAAAAATTTATGTTTAGAGTAATCAGATAAAAATACAGGCTGGAAAACCTCTTACTTGAGTTGGATGGTAAGTAATGAAAAGTCACAGAAAATATAGTTCAAAAAATAGATGTAGTTGATGCTGAGCACATTGGGTGCTGACCCAAGAGTTTGTCTTTTGTTCAAAGATGATGATCTTAACTACATTTTGAAAAAGTATGATTGGAAACTTCTTTGAAGTCAGTATATTTAATCAGTAGAATGCAGAATGGTACATAGTAACTTCAATTAAAACAACTGGGAAGTAAGACATTAAAAGTAATAGATAGTCAGAGGAGCAGGAGTATGTCTTGCCACCCTACTTATTTTCTACAGTATGTTATTTCCATGGTTATGGTTAATGAGAAAAGATACTGACAAAGTGAAAACACATGACTAAGTCCCTTCTGAGAGATTTGTGTGGAATCTTTTCCTTGGTTATTGGAAATGTGATTCTGTGAATGAAAGTACCGCAAATAGTGTATATTGTTAGCCATTGTACTGTCAAGGAAACTGAAGTGGTTTTATAACTTTTGTAAGATTGTGTAAGACTGATGAGTTCAGTTCTCCTACAAAGCTGACTAACTGCTGAGGTGTTTTTCACCAATGTGCAAATATAACTCTGTTAATTAGTGTACTCCATCAAGAGAAATTGAAAATTACCCATATTACCCCCACAAGTTTGTGTTTACTCATCTGTAAAGTGTGATTATAAAAGCTTCTTTTCACATGAAAGTGTGTAAAGACCAAATGATCATGCACTGGAAGATATTTTTTTATATTATATGATGCATTGTAAAAATAAACCATTTTTCCTAAATTGTGTGTAAACTTCATTTTGTAATTGACGTGGTGCCTACACATCTATAAAGAACAGCCATGAAAAGACGTTAGTGTCTCTTGTCTGGATAAAACATGTGACTTCCAGAAGCCATTGAATCTGACATTTTTTAGATGTCATTTCCTCCAGGGTATCTTTCTTTGCACCTTCATATCAAAGTGCTGTTTATCACTATGAGCAGCAGTGAATCCCAGAGCTCCTAAGTAACTCCAAGTTGTTAACTTGTGCACAAAGATGAAAACATGTGGAAGTGAATCCCATGGTCAACCATGGGCAATTGTTTCACACATCTATCAACAGATAGTTGGGGAGGTATGTGTTGTCCCTTAGCCATAGTTTTGATATTAAAATATGCCACACTGTATTAAATTATTTTTCCCACAGTCCAAATTCTAGTTGCAGTTCTTACTACATTTGTGTTCCTTAAAACACCCTTGTAAGCTTCTCAATTTCACCTTGTAGTAAGTACATCGGATAAAGCTGTTGAAGAAAACACTCACAAGAGCAACCAACTGCATGAGTAGACAATCAACAAGAGGTCACGCAGGGGAAAAGTTGTAACACTTTCCTCTACTATTCCAGTTTGCTCTCTATAGCGGTAAAAACCTTCTCTACTACTTGAAACTTCTGTATTTATGTGAATGAGTCATTACTGAGCAAAACAAGCATCCAGACTCTGTGATCTCAAGTTACATATTTCATAGACAACAGATAGGAGGCTCCTTGTGCAGTCTTTTGTCTATAGGAATCACTTCATAGAAGATAAGACTACTTGGCCACATTCAAAACTCACCTTCAAAGGCCCCTTGCTTTGAATTACTATGATTCTGCCAGATATTTCCTTTCCTACATGACCAGGTTAGGATCCGCTGATCTATTCAGATCTTCATTCCCAGGTCAGCAAAGGGATGGTGAAGATACCCTGAGAACAGAGGGCTGATTTCTTGCTTGCTTCTTATTCACTTCAACTCTACATCTGCTTATTACTTTGACTGTTGTGCAGCATGAGGCCCAGATTGAGTCACCTTCTTGGAGCACTCTGTAAGTCCCTTTCTAGGCCTGTTAAGTTCAGAAAAGTCTATTCTTGCCCTCCTTGTTCCCTCAAGTCAGTGACATATAGGAGAAAAATTGACATTTTATGATCTCTGTGGGACCATTAAACCACCTGTTTGTATTTGCCATTCAACCTATGTTATTGGCTTCACTAATCTTTTGGAACATTTAATGTAATAGTCTTCTTTAGAGACTGTGGAATGACAGTGGAGTTTTCTTGATTTCCTTTGCCCTTTGGGGGGGGGGCATTTTGAAATCCTTTCTTGAGATGAGATAATTTTGTTTAATTTATTACAACATTGCCTAGCTGAACTTCCTACAAGAATGATGTATTTGACAAAATTATTTTTGAAATGTTAAATGTGTACCATAAAATATTATATTTTTTATTGCTGCTTGACATATATTCTGAGTATACATCCTCTTCCTATGGGTAGATTAATTCTCATGTGCACTTCTTGGGACAAATCGTTTTTATGGAAGTGGTCTTCCTGTGGAGGCGGGTTATCTACATTGCTTTTCCTTACAATCCACTTTAAGATGTTTCCTAACACGTGTGCAAAAATTTTTGGAAGCTTTCTTAGCCGTAAATTTCCATATAGTCTCTTCAAAAGGCTTTAGGGTTAGCTAGCAATCCTCGCACTCTCTGTCCTGCGCAACCCACCCATTGCCAATGCCATTTAACCCTTCCTGTTCTACTATTCTCCTCTCCCCCTTTCTACCACCTACACTCCATTCCTCTTCCCTTGAAACAAACAACCATTTCATCCTTACTAGTTTCTTGACTGCTGTGGGTATTTACATGCGTACACACACACACGTGTCTAAAGATCCAAAGTAAGCATTCACATTTTTGATTATTTCTTTTATTTGGAAATAATAACATAATTATATTTCCCCCTCCTTTTCCTTCTTGCTTCCATTTACTCCTTCTGGTTCTCTTTCAACTTCATTGGTTAATTTTATTAATATATTTTACATGAATATATGTATATGCATATACATATATATCCCTAAATATAACCTGCCCATTTTCATTATTCATTAATAGTTGATGGACATTTAGAGTGTTTCCATTTCCTGGCTATTATGAATTTAACAATGATGAACATGTACAAGGAAGTACCTCTATAATAGAATATAGAGTCTTTGGGTCATATGCACAGGAATGGTATAACAAGATCATATGGCACATCTGTTTCTAGCATTTTGTGGAACTTCCACACTGATTTCCCTATTGCCTGTATCAGTCTGTTCTCATACCAAGAGTTAATAGGTATCACCAGAGCAGCACTTGTACAATGCTTGTGTTTTTATTCTTACCCATTCTGTGCTGGGTAAAATGAAATTGAAGTTTTAATTTATGTTTCCCTGGTGGCTGAAAATGTTGGAAACTTATTAAATACTTCTTGTCTTTTTTTCTTCTTCTGTGAACTCTCTGTCTAGTTCCGTGCCCCAATGTTTAATTGAGTTGTTTCTTTTCTTAGTGTTTAGTTTTCTGAGTTCTTTGTTATTCTAAATACTAACTCTCTGTCAGATATATGGCTGGTAATTTTTTTTTCCCATCCAGCAGGCTGCCTTCTCACTCAGATGATGGTGTTCATTGCTGTACAGAAGTGTTTTGGTTTCAATTTTACTCTTCCCTACAAATAAAGTTCACCTCAAATAGTTGCCTAGTAGGAGCCTGCAGTTGCCTTCAAGGGCAGCCGAGAGATGCTGTTCTGGTCTGTTAGAAGTTGCAAAGCTTTTCCTGGGAGGATTAATAGCTTTGACTTTAACTAATCAACCACAGAGCTTGAAAAGCTCAGAAATACATAACCTCAATTTTTAGCAGGAACCAGCCTTAAATCAAATCACCTGGTGATAAGCTTTTTAATCTATTTAGAGTCAACCACCATCGAACTTTTATCTTAAGCAAACAGGCAACTGGATGAGGCTGATAGAATTGAATGATTTTTTTGACTCAGTCTGCAGTCTGTTTAAAATTGTGATCCCCACAGCCTGAGAATATATGGGAGGAAGATTAACTTTTTTAGCTTAATAAGATGAAATCACAGCTTCTTTTTATCTAGTTCAATTTATACAAAGATATTCTCAACATTTCTAAAACTTAAATTCTTACAGAACACTAGCATATAATTTTCTATTTCCTTAACAATTGTAGTAAATAGCTAATTCTGAGGGCACAAAGAAAACAAATAATCATTACTTTTAAAATATAGACAAATAAACAAATAATCCTGCATTGGCACATAAAAACAGTTACTTCTCATGAGAAAACTGTAATATCAATTATCAACATTAATATATCAATTATCAATTTCATTTTTGAAGTGAAAAACTGAAACCCATAACAGTAACAATAACCTTCCCAATATCATAAAACTCATAAATTCTAAAGCTATGTTTGCACTTTCAAAATGTGAATACAGAAAGTGTAGAGTTAACTATGACAGGATTTCTTCTCTTTGCATTTCCATTCATCCGTCATAATGGGAGAGAAGTCAAAAGTTAGACCCTGACTACCACCCAGGCAAGTGTGGTGGTATTGTGTTCCCCAAAATATTGTGTACCCTAATAAACTTATCTGGGGTCAGAGAACAGAAAAGCCACTAGATACTTAGGATAGGCAGTGGTAGTACACGCCTTTAATCCTAGCATTCCAGAGGCAGAAATCCATGTGTTCAAGGATACAGCCAAGCATGGTGACTCACGCCTTTAATCCCAAAAAGCGAGCCTTTAATCCCAGGGAGTGGTGGTAGAAAACAGAAAGGCATATAAGGTGTGAGGACCAAAAACTAGAAGCATTTGGCTGGTTAAGCATTTGGCTGGTTAAGCATTCAGGCTTCTAACAGCAGTTCAGCTGAGAGCCATTTGGATGAGGACACAGAAGCTTCCAGTCTGAGGAAACAGGGCCAGCTGAGAAGTTGGCCAGGTGAGGTTAGCTGTGGCTTGTTCTGTCTCTCTGAACTTCCAGCGTTCAACCCAATACCTGGCTCAGGTTTGATTTTTATTAATAAGAACTTTTAGAAACCTCATCCAATGACTGAGGGAACAGGATGCAGAGATCCACGGCCAGGCCCCAAGTGAAGATCCAGGAGTCCAATTGGCGAGAAAGAGGAGGGTTTGTATGAGCGAGAATTGTTGAGACCAAGATTGGAAAAAGCACAGGGACAAACAGCCAAACGAATGGAAACACATGAACTATGAACCAATGGCTGAGGGGCCCCCAGCTGGATCAGGCCCTCTGGATAAGTGAGACAGTTGATTAGCTTGAACTGTTTGGGAGGCCCCAAGGCAGTGGGACCGGGACCTGTCCTCAGTGCATGAGCTGGCTGTTTGGAACCTGGGGCCTATGCAGGGACACTTTGCTCAGCCTGGGAGGAGGGGACTGGACCTGCCTGGACTGAGTCTACCAGGTTGAGCTGAATCCCCAGGGGAGTCTTTGCCCTGGAGGAGATGGGAATGGGGGGGGTGGGCTGGGTGGAAGTTGGGGGGGGGGCGCGGGGATCCGTGGCTGATATGTAAAATTAAATTAAATTATAAAATAAAATAAAATTTAAAAAAAGAAAGAAATGATTCCTGCTACAGGCAAGTGTACAGAAACAAGTGTGCTGAGAAACTGAAGAACGACAAAACATTTTTCTCTGTAAACATGCTAGTAACAGTTCCCCACAGTATCATAATGGAATACTTTCAGTGTGATATACTTGATCCATAAATACATGACTTATACGAAGTGCATTCACAATTTTTAGATTTAGGCTATGTTACCTGCTGTAATAAAATGCCACAATCATTTGGTGAGTCTACGAAGACAACTGACAATATTTAATATGGTCAGTATAACTGAAAGATTTCATCTTGGATAAGTGATATTGTTCAGGCATCACACCTACCTTAACTTGTCATGTCAGTGGGAGTTG